AATTAGCTTTAGCGTCATATGTATAATGTACAGCTTACAATTGTTTAATAAAGCACATATAACTAGCCTGACAGAGGGTTATAAAATAAAAAAAAAAAAATATAATAATAACAATTATAATTCAAAAACAAATATTTAGAAACTAAACATAACATTATATAAAAAAGGAAGAAAAAATATATAATCAACTTTGTAGAGTAATTATAAAAACATAATATTGAACCAATATTAAATCTTCTATAAAATTATTTTATTAGTGAATATCTAAAATATACTGTATAAAGTATTTGAAAAGATTAAAAATTGATACTATTGATTTCAGATATTTGATAATATAAAGGAATATATTAGTGTGTATGTCAAATTTCAGAGACAAGATACTGATCCTAATTGTACATAGATTATTATTAAAGAGGTAGGTAGAAATATTGTACTCCAGATATGAGAAGTATAGGAGCTTTATATATATAGTGGCGATCATAAGTAATGAAGCAAGAAAAGAAAAATGGTTAGGTTATATTATTTCATATAATTTCAGATGTATTTTTTGTTGATTTATTTTTTTTTATTCATAAATACTATAGCTTTCAAATATTAAAAAACTTAAAAAATATTATTGATAAAAAATTTTTATAGGTATAAGCTTTATTCAAATTAATACGATGTATTACTTTTGCTCATATTTAATATATCATGAAATTAAAACAAAAAAAAATTTTTTTATCTATATATATATTGATCACTACTATTTAGTATATTCACCACTTGCTTTGATAATATCATAGATTCATTTGGGCATGTATTGAATTAAATTAATATAGGTTTCAACATAAATCTCTTTCCAGACTATTTGGATTTTGTTCCAGAGGCCTTCTTTATTCAAAATTTATTCAAGAAGTTTTCTAAGTCGACAATCTACCTCAATCCACAAATGTTCAATAGGATTGAGATCCGAAGACTGGAGGGCCAATTTAATAATTGTATGTGATTATTTTTTAACCATCTTATTGTTAACTTTGCTATATATTTAAAATTGTTATTCTGTTAAAAAACAATTCTACTAATATTAAACCCTTGATTTTTAACAGTATTTATAAAATTTTCATAAAGTATTTAATGATATAATTTGTTATACATGTTTAAAGATGGGTTCCTAAAGAGGGAGACAGGGACAAAGCCAAATGTCCCTCACTAGGAAACATTAAAATTTTTAAATTAATAACAATAAAAAAACTACTCACAATTCTTTTTTATTATTTAAATCATTGATTTATAGCATTTCCTGATTTTTGTCCCTCAAAAAGGAACATAAGTGATCTGCAAAATTTTATATACTAAATATTTTAGAGACCTATCATTATCCATGTTACCATTGATTTTATAAAACTCATCAACATCACAAGACGAAAAACACCCTCAAATCATGACCGAACCACCTTCAAATTTTACTGTAGATTTAATATAAAAACTATTTAAAGATTCACCAGGATGCTTCCAATAATATTGCTTATCATAAAACTCAAAAATATTGAATTTTGATTCATTAGATCAAATTACCTTGACCCAATCTTCATAAAACCAATTTTCGTATTTTTTTATAAATTTTAGTTGATGTTTTTGATAATATTTACTCAAATGAGATTTTTTTTCTTTTAATTACTAATATTAAACTATGGGTTTTGAATATATAATGAATAGTGGATGCTGAAATCACAATATTTTCTTGTTCTTTAAGGTGAAAACAAATTTCAACAGCACTTGAACATCGATGAGAGGTAATAAGGTTTATGATTTTTCTTTGTGTTGGCTCATTTATGATAGGTAAATAACTAACTTTTGTCAAATCTTCAAGTGTATGGTTTTTTAATCACTTTTTATTAATTTAAGATACTATAGAAGAACTAATATTATGAGCATGACCAATTTCTCTTGTAGAATGTCCCTTTTGAAGCAAAAGCATTATTTGAACCCTTTGGGTTGAGATTGTTTGTTTCTTTTTTTTTGAAGTTCGATTATCAAAAAGATTCAACATCATATAAAGATACAAAAATAGAAATGTATTTATATTTTATACAGATATTTATATAGTACTATCAAATGTATCTGATCTTTTTCAAAAGCAAGCAAAAGTAATGCATCACATGTTTTGTGACACATGCGCAATTATATCTGTATCGACAATTATAATCATTATTAAAATTTCAATACTAAAAAAAGTAAGTATTTGCAAAAAAATTTAAAAAAAAAGTAAAAGAATATGTCTAGAATTATGTAAAAATAATGTAATCTAACAAAAAATTTTTTTGCTCAATTACTTATGATCGCCACTGTATGTTACGTATTTATTCAATGTTAAGAAAAGACAACATGACACTTCATTCAAGTATGGGCTTTAAATTACAACAATGGATTGTTGACCGTGATTGGTTCAATTGGAAAAAAGTTAAAGCCTGGGTTTGAATAGTATGTCACATGGGTGGAATAAACACACACCGTATTATCACGAGATTCTTAATCCCGTGTCATCTACGTTTCTGTAATACTGTACGTCCATTACGTTATCGGTACACATGTAAAATATATCCCACAAGTCTGATCATATACTTTATCAATGTCAGAGAAAACTGCACTAATAATAGGCGCCACGGGTAACGTATTGCCAATAGATAAATGAACGAGGTGAAGTTTTAAAGTTTACAGTATCTTAAATTAAATAACAGGCGCGGTGGGAAGTGCGTTGCTCCTTGATTTATTGAAATTTAATGACTTCAAAACCATTTCGACTGTCGGACGTAGAGAGATCAAGTATGATGGGAATAACAAAGAAATTTTGGTAACACTTATTTGATAAATTTGTATTTTGACGAATATTACAATAAATATTTAATTAGTCTTTGATATGACGAAAGAAACAAAAAATCATTGATTTCGAGAATTTGGATCAATATAAAGAAGAGTTTGTTGGTCACGAGTAAGTATTCCCTCGCCCTATTAATGCTTTAAACGACTTTCTCACATTTGATACTCTTCAAAATCAGCGTGGTGTTCAATACCTTTGGCACCACAAGAGCGTTAGCAGGAAGCGCTGAAAATTTCGAAAGAATTGACAAAGGATACGTGATCCGGTCCGCCAAGATTATTAAGGAACTGAATCCTGACAAGGAAATCCATTTTCTCTATTGTAGTGCCATGAACTCAAATCCAAATTCTCAACTTCTTTATCCTCGAGTCAAAGGCGAGATCGAGAAAGAGTTGGGCGACATTGGATTCAAAAAAGTTAGCATATTTAGACCAGGTTATTTGAAAGTTGAAAAAAGGCCAGAAAATCGTAGATTTGAACATCTCATAGTTTCGGCATTTTCCAGCGTATTGGATTTCGTGGCGCCGAAAAGATGGGGCGTGCATGTTGATATTGTTGGAAGGGGTAAGGCATTGATTAAAATCATCATCAAAAATTTTTACTGAAAAATGTCTGACATGCTTTTTATAGCCATGAGAAAGGTTGGAACAGGCAAAGCAAAAACTGAAACTGAAATAAAGGTCTTGGAGAATGGAACCATATTCGAAGTAATTAATCATCAACAGATTCATCAAATTGCTGAAGAGTCGGATTAAACAACAAGAAATAGCATGAAATGATAATTTGAATACGAACAAAGCTTAATATTATTGCATTAATTGTAAACAAAGTATTTTGCACATTATATATTAGCGTGTTTTATATAAATTCAATAAAATCTAAATTGATTGATCGCCATCTATTGTAATGATCTCGCCGAAGGGTTGATCCTCTCGCCTGCGAATAGTTTGTCTAGTCTCGCTGACAAAAGATCACTGCCCGAGCTTCCTTTTAAAATACAGCATATCAAACGATTGGTTTTCTATTACGGTATAATAATTATATCTGCATTTTAAATTTATTAATTGCATGATAATTTATTTCGAAAAAAAAAAAAAAAAAATGGAAGATCAATACGTATTATAAATAACAAAAATGAGAAAAAATTTTAATCTTTATATCTTATTAATAAATTTTTATTTAATTACACTAATATGTGATTTCACAACACAACCACCGTATAAACTAACATATACAGTATACACTGACTCAAAAAATTGTCCCAATAATTAAAACTTTTTTGTTTATAGCGTATATCTTTTGAGCGACTGATTT